CCATCTCCCAAGGTCTTTCCCACGTACCATTATACCCCAGAACCTTTTGAATTCCCTTTCCTATCCTTTTCTTCTTAGTTTTGGAGCCCAACATTGTGGCCATGAAACTCAGCTGGCAAATTGGGGCTTGGGGGGAATTTCATAGATAGGATACCAGGAGGCCACAAAGCTGCATGCTGTAGACCAGAAGCTAAGAAGAAAATGTTGATCCTCTACTGCTCCTTCATCATGCTATGGTGGGAAGATCTGGTCCTCAGATTGATCCCCAGGAATTGATCCCCTCTTTTCCACTTGGAGAAACTGGAGCGAGGCCAGGTTTTGTGATGATGGATTTCCTTGGAATCTTGGAACTTTTGAGGACTATGTTTTAGGAAGAAAGTCTGGAAGAGATTTCCTAGAAGGCAAGTAGAGCTTCTGACCCTTTTCCTGGACGACCTTGAAAACAACCAACAAAATGGTTGAAAATAGTGAAATTCAGAGCTTAGTCTGGCCTCTGAGGATCTGGAGGACCTCAACCAAGCTCTCAGTGATCTTTTTCCTGCACCGTACGATGGAGCCCAAAAGCTTTGTTGGTATCTCCACCACCATCTCTACCACCAGCACGAATTTGCCCCTTGAAATTCCCAGCTTGGTTCTGTTCCAGCAGACGAGCGTTACACTTAGTCACCCCCATTTCCTTATTAATTGAAGACAGCTCTGCTGTGGGTAGTTAAGACACTTGTGTGATCAGCGTAACAAATAAGATGGCCATGATCATGGATAATGAATGTAAGCTGAGAGCGTTTGGTTCTGCAGCTCTGCCTCTGGCATTCTTGAGGGCTGGTGGGGTATGTGAACGAGGAGAATAACTCTCTTGCTGATTGTATTGCAAAGGGGAGAGTCCCAGAATCCTAGCATCGTAGGGACATCGGTGGTCTTCTAGCGCAACCCCCTGCCCAGGTCAGGAACCCTCAGCTCCTCTTCTCACAGTCCTTCGCTCTACCTGTTGGAGACAATGACCAGTTTTATTTGTTAGACCTTTTCCTCATATTCCTTCCTCGCGTCCGTTGCAGATAGCTCTTGCTTTTATTTGTGATTTATGTTATGAGATGTAAGCGCCGCCCGACTTGAAAACTACTCTGGGCGGCTGACGATGTTGACAACCGACAAGGTTTTTTAAAAAAGACACAACATGACGGAAGATCCCCTCTGCCCAGCCCAGACACGAACCGAAACTCTCTGACGTTGCTTGTTTACATTCTCTGCATTCCTGCTGTCCTGATTAGCTCATTCTCACGAGCTTTGGTGGAGCGTTTCCCGCCGCTAATGGAGTCCTGACAAGCACCAATTCTTAATATTAACCTTATTCTCTGGCTCAGCAGGAGAGCTGTGAATAGCTCTCAGAAAGCAGTGGCAGGAGAGGCCCACCTTCCTCTAACTGTTCTCCCGAAAGGTCTAATGATGGTTCTGTGTTTTTATTTTCTCTCTCTGTTGAGGCTGGAGGAATCTCGTAATTTCCCAGAGGAATCGTTGGATCGAAAGGACCTAGTTTTAATTACTTGGGATTTGAATGACTGCAAAGGCCTTTTATGTAATCAGATTAATCAATCGGGGATAGTTTAATCTGCACTGAGCCACAGAGAGCAGCCCTAATGCTGTGTAATTCGTTTGCTCCCTTTGGGCTCTGGGTCCATCGAGCCTGACCGTTGAATCATTTGCTGCTAGATGTGAATGAGGTTTTTTATGACCTGTGGCTATGCTTTGGACGGGATTTTACTCCTTCTTAGTTGCCTCGGGCACTTCCATTACGTTGCAGCATCGGAATGGGGGTCAGGGGGCCTCTGAGGTCATCTAGTCCAACCCCACGCCGTGCAATGCATTTCAGACCGATATTAAAGGTTTTCAATGGCATTGAAGCATAGTTTGGGTTGGCTACTTGTCCTGTTTATGTCAGAGTCCAGAGATCGGGTTGATATTGATGCAAATCATTCTGTCTTTCCTGGGGGTGGTGTAGCAGACCTCAAATTCTAATATTTACCCCCACCGCATCCGAGTTCCTTATCTCTTTTGTAGCCCTGTGAGTCCACAAGGGGCTGGACTGGAAGACCTCTGAGATCCTCAGTGACCACAGGGGTGTTTAAAGGGGTGGATCTTCTTGCCATCCATTTTTTTCTTTTTAAGGAGTGATTTTACAAGTGCTCTGGAACCCGAGATTTTTCTCGAGCAGGTCCAAACGCCATTTGCTAATCTGCCTTTTTGAGACTAATCTAATCAAGGCTCCGTTCTGTTCTATTTGGCTTGATTTTGAAAGTCTCGGCGGGGGTTTAGTGCCCATTTTTCACGCTGCGTCACATCCCTTTCCCCAAATGTGCTATTTCAGTATGCCACGAGGGGCTTTCTTAGTTACAGTGTGTTTTCTCTGCAATTTCTCTAAATAATCTTTCCCCTTGGTCGAGACTACTCAGAAGCTAGGTTACCCTTTGTGATCAAGATGCTGTTTCACAAGGGTTATTATTCATTCTCGGTCATTATTTCTTTCAAGCCGGCGCCTTCCGATGGCCTGGGCCCAGGAAAATCAACTTCGAAATCTCTGCTTATTTACAGCCATTTATTCTCCTAGCAAGGCTGGCGGGAAGGACTTTTCAGAGTCCCCCTCCTTGTGCAACCGACACAGAGACAAATGAACCCGTGCCAGCCACTGATGATCATTTATTTTCAGGGATTTCTCTCCCCAGCAAGGCCTCTCCCGCGCGCACCGTCGCCGAAACCCAAATGCAGAAATAAATATCTCCTTCGGTATAAATAGTGCATTACATAAGAGAGGAAACGTCTAGCTCGCCATCGAAAACAGAGCTGGCAAGAGAGGAAGCAAGAAGAAGGGGGAGAAAGAAATGTCTTTCATCTGGAAACCTCTGATGGGACAGCCAGGCGGGCTGGGAATATGAAATTTTCCCCTCCAAAATTTGGGGAAGACTAATTTGATTTTGCTCCGGCAGAGTCTGGGATCCTGGGAGTCTAGGATAGACTCGGGGAATCAGCGCTGATAAAAATTGGCATCTTACTTTAAATTAGTGCCGGGCAGGGAAATGTTCTTCCTTTTAAATCTCCAGGAGATGGAAGAGCAAGCGTGTTTCTTTTGTCCTTTCGCAAGGAAAGAAACGTGCCGGTGGCGTCCTTCTGGTGGGGAAGGTCCCACGCTTCTGGAGTGACCTGCGGCTGAGTCAGTGCGTGGCCAGCTCTGGCCCGTTCGGCCTTTGGTTTCCTTGCTGCTGGCAACCTGTCACTCAACTGTCAAGAAGAAAACTTTGAAAGCCTGCTAAGAAATCCCCCTTTCCTCCGAAGAAGGTGGCATTGGTCTGCAAGAACGTTGATGCCCGGCTTATTTCACACGCATTGCAAGCTTGCAGGCTGGCACAAGACATTCCCGGCCAGATTCCCAGGGGAGCATTCTGTCAAAATCCTGGCTTTTAGAGAGGGTTCCCAGACCCCCCACCAATAAATATTAGCAATTTTCCCCTTGGCCTCTGTCTCTGGGGAGAAACACTGCACCTCGCTTGGGAAAGCAATACCTTTTCAGGAGTGTATAAAAGTGAATTATTCGCAGAGAGGTCTACTCTCCCCTTTGCAAGCTCGTTTTCAGGGGAGTAAGATTTTCTGGCTCTGCAGGGTCCACAGGAGGAGGAAAAATCCAGGCAAACTTAAAAAAAAAAGGTTCTGCAAAAGCTTTGGAGGAAGCATATAGTCCCTCTGCCGTTTCAGGCCTTATTGCCAGAATGTGGGGAATGCTCGGAGCACGTGCAGAGCGCTTTCTAGAATGAGTAACTATCGGCCGCCTCACCCTAGCTGGATTCTAACCAGAGCGGGATGCAGGAAACGGAGCCAAGGAAGCATCAAGATCAGCCACCCAGCCCAGGCAGAGTTTTGGAATTCCTGCCATGCAGCTCTTTTTAAAAAATGCAGGCAATTCTAGTGAGCGATTGATCTCCCGCCCCTTTGCAATTCGGATTTTATGGGGCTTTTGAAAATGTTTGGCAGCTTTCTGCTGGGGGGCTGCTGGATGAAATAAGGTTGAACATTTATTCCAGGAAATGTTGGGGGAAGGATGTTGATTCCCATCTGAAAATGCCAGCCTTCCCAGGTAGACCAGACAGGAAACACGACCAGATGAGCTAATTCTACTTTATTATAAAGCTACTTTAACCGAATCTTGCAAGTTTAAAAGTACAAATCTCCCCCTGTCCCCTTTACAGCCCGAGAAACTAGGGAGGGTCCCTTCTGAGCCTCTTTCTCAACTCATTATGCAGCTGTGGGCTGTGCCCCCTCTTATCCGACCGTTCCCTTGGCAGCATCTCTTGGCCCTGTCTCCCAAGGTCTTTCTGACATACCATTTACAGAAAATGACTGTTCCAGGAAGTGCAAAAAGGGTGGGGAAAGATGTCATGCAAAAGAGGTGTTGCCTGAATCAAAAAGGGCTAGCTGATTAATTGAGGGGTTCCGGCCCATTAAAGCTGCAAAACGCTTGAAGATTAATCAGTAAAGGTTTTGGTCAGGTACGGGCTGATCAGCCCCAGAAGCAACTTCTCATCTCTGAAAATCGACTGCTGGGTTTCAGGCCCCCACATGTCTCCATCCATCTCCGGATTTCTGAGATGCTTAATGTCACCAGTAGAAGGTGGACCACAAGGAGAGGCGATTGGGAACCTTGATCTTGGCCAAGGGATCATCTTGGTTCCAGGGAGAAAGGGAGGCTCCAGCTGTTCTCTAGGGTTTCAGGCCCTGAAGAATTTAGGAGTGGGTCCTTCCTGATCCATATTTAGCCTTATTCCCTAAGATTGCTCTTGAATTATCTGCCACTAACGCTCCCGGCCTTTCTCCTGTTCTTGCTCGTCTTCGCCGGACACGAAAACGGTTTTAAAACCCATCGTCCTCTCCCTCTACAGAATGAATCATTGCCCCAAAGGGAAATTGCTCGGTCACCTATCGTTGGGCAGTTGCTCTCCTGGATCCAGTTCCTGATCCAATTCGGCCTCTGACTTCGCGAGGGGATGAATCCTATTTTGGTTGAGTCGGGAACGATGGGGTAAGAAGTTCTGCGAGCTGTCCTCGTTTTCCTTTTGATGAATTTAGGGCCACCCTAAATTGAACGTCGAGATGTCTAGGTTGGGGCTGTTTTCTTGCGTTCGTGTTTCTTCCTGCCTTGGAGAATATGAAAAATGGGGGGGGAAATGTTTAAAAACGGTGCTTCGACTAAAGGAAGAGAATAAATTTGGTATTTGAGGACAGCCGGTTCCATTTCTGGCATTTTCTCTCCTTGCAAAGCACATTCCTCGGAGAATTGGGGTTGCTGTTTCGGTATGAGCTGCCTAACCCAGCGAGTCACGGAATATTTTTTTTTTCCATTTTTGGGAAATGCACAGCTTTCATTTCAAGAAATAAATAAATAACATAACAACGGGGTTTTTCATTTCGCCTGGGCTACGGCTGCCGGAAACGCTGCAGATTAAACACTAAATCAGTGGCTGACAAGAAATCTCACCTCCTGAAGTTGGAGGTTTGTTTTTTTTCCCCAGCCGAGAAGGAAAAGAAAAGAAAAAATGCAGGAAGAAATGTAGAAACGGGTGTGCTGGGGGTTGGGGGGGTTTGCCAGCCATCTTTTGCTTCTCTCAAATTCAGTTGCCCCCGTTTGATCACCTTGTGGTGTGACCGCCAAAGGGGCGGGGCTATGTAAATCCATATATAAGGATCTAGACAGAACTTCCTTTCTCCGATCCTGAAGGAATTTCCAGGCAGGGGGTGCAATTTCTACTTACTGTGACCTCTTTTGGGCAGTTATTCAAAAACATGCTCCATTGCACCCTTAACTAAGTGTGGCTCCTTATTTATTCATCGCTTTTTATAATACAATTTTTATTTTATTTTATCATGCATGTTCCTATCGATCTTTAGCTCTTGTTACACCCGTTGTAGAGAAAGAGGCTTGCAACGGTGCTGTTATCGGAGATTTGACTCCCTCTGGCCCTGTAGCTGTAAGAAACGGATTCAGTTTGATCGATCCAGGGGCAAATATGGAAATGTATAGATCTCTGCAAGGCTGGCGGGCTTTCCCACAGTTCTGCAAGGAAAGGGGGCTGGAATGGCTAGCGGTTAGATCAGTGGAACGCCCACACAGCCCATGGTGGCTTCTCCAACGTGGCCCGCTTAAACCTAGCTAGGAGGGGGGGGGTGAACCCGGTTAGAACCAAACGCAGTTGGTCGAGGGGATGATGGAAACATGTCCTGGAGGGCTGGGCATTTGGTTTGACATCTCTTCCCCCCCCCCAAAAAAAGGTTTTGCAGCACTTCTCATGGGGGGGGGAGTGGTACTTATACGTACGAGTTAGCAGATGGCTGGGGGGGGGTGCAGATGGCTGGTTGTTCATTGCACAAG